ACCTTGGAACCATGGGACTGAATGAGAGTAGGGAACACCCATCTCCTCCTTTTCCCCTCACTGTTTCAGCATTAGAAAATGTTCAGTCTTTAAATAATAAAAGAAGCAATTATGACTAAACAAAAAAAACATTATGCTAGAAGTTTATTGTTTATTGAAAAGCCTCTTTAATAATGAGAATGTATGCAATAAACATGAGTAAATATAGACAAGGAAAAAGTAATAAAAATGCATGAACATTCTTGAAATTAAACCTTTAAAAAACAACACTTTATGTTCACAACAATTAACTTAATGTATTTATTTAATGAACAAAAAGAAAATTAAGTTTACAAAAATATGCAAACAAATTTGATTTATGATTTATCAGCTAAAAATTAAGAAACTTGCAAACTAGAATACAGTTGTAATATTTGATCTCTTACCTCACATGAGCAAATAATGCTTTTGCAATGACAAGCAACATGGAGGCAAAAATGAGAACATTAATTTTGTCTTGCAATTCTTTAGAAAGTCCCCTTAACAATTCTAACACCATTGTCTTTGCATTAGCACCAGCTTCATGGTATCTGAAAAGACGAAAATGCCCTCATTATCTTCATCATTGAAAACAGCCTAAAAAACCTTGTCTAGTCTAGTGTAACAAACACAGACTTTCTTTTTAAAACAAATACTTTTCTCATTAAAGTTTAACCTTGTGAGGGCATTTTCGACCTTTACTGTGGTGAACCATTCTTCCCCGACTTTTCTACCCTTTGAGTCAATAGAAGGTTTGAGTTGTTTTATTTGTTCTTCTCCAGGGGTATTAGCCCAACCAGAAGGAGCAAATCTTTTTACTTTAAACCAAACAGATTTATGCTCACGTGCATATGTGATTTCTCCTCTGACACCTCCAAATGGTGTTGTGGTAGCTTTTATTCTTGAAATTATAGGAAGGAAATCTTCTGTAACCTTACAAAAAATGCCACCTAGCATCTGTTAACTTACTACAAGATAATAATAATAATAATAATAATAATAATAATAATAATAATAACAAACTATGGAAGCAAAGGAAGAACACTTACTGCTAAAGATAAGGCTTCAACAGCTTTATCAACCTCTTCATAGGATTCTTTTAGATGGATCTTTTTAACACGGTTTTTCCATAGCTTTGTATGAGTGGAAAATTCTTCAAATCTGAAGTGCATAAGAAAAGATTTTCATTTTTAAAGGAAATGAGACTTTAAGTTATTGATAATTTAGTGTGTGAAAGAATGAAGATTATTAGAATATGTACCTTTTATAAGGCTTAAACCTGCTCGTTGCATAGACTGTGATGGCTCAACTATATTAACTCTTTCAAGAGAGTTTGGCCATACTTCACGTAATGCCCTGAATAATATTTTAAAAACATTAAGTTATGTAATAAAAATAAATAAAAAATAGACCATTTATTAATATTTATGTTAACAGCTTTGGTGTGGAATTCTATACTGTAAAGCAAGCTCCTTTACCTTCAACATAAACCTCATGCTATAACGAAACCCATAATCTATAGCCAAACCCATAATCATAATACCTGTCATGGAAACAATTAATACAAACACAGCCACCCATAAAATGATCAACAAGTAACATAAGCTTTTATTTTACAAACATTGCATGCATTATACCTGTCTTGGAACAACAAGAAAGAAATTCTCAAAAGAAAGTACGTCATTGTATCCAACATAGTCCCCAATTAAATTCACCCTCAAAATGCTATCACTTGAAAGGGTTGTTCTACTTCCATGACTGATAATTAATTCCTGTTAGAACAGAGTAAGTTGTAAGACATACAAAATCATCCCTACACATAGTTATGTTGTGAAGGAAGCCACATACAAAGACTTTAGACCATGTTTTGACTTCAAACCTTATGGTGAATCCTCTTGAATGTTGTCCAATTCCAAACACATGGAACCTAACAACACACCAGAAACTAGTATGAAAGAAACATCATATGCAAAATATCCAAAGAATATGTAGAAAGTAGAAAAAGATGTGAAAAGAATATCACACTTCATACCAATCACCTGGAAAAAGATTTCCACATGATGAAGGCACCCTACAGTGATCCCCACAAGGACAACAAATTGGCTATCCGATGATTCCGAAAATAAGAAATCAGTAAATAATAACCCGATGATGATTTAGAACAAAGGAAAAAGAAAAAAATGAAGCAACTAATGATCTATTTTAGAAGAAATCAACAAATAATAACCCGATTTCAGCCATAAATCGGCGATTTCAGCGTATATGGGGAAGAGAAAAAGAGGAAAAGCTAAAGAACGGTGCATACCTGACGCGACCTTCAATGTATGACAGTGGCGCTGGAGGTACGGGAGGATAGGGATGAAGATGTGAAGGTGTTGGAGTATGGCACCGTAGATGCAAAGGTTGAGTGTCGAAGTAGAGAAATGAAGCGGCGGAAGTTTTAGAATCGAGAGAGAAGAAAAGGAGAAAGATTGAAATCCCCAAAATTGTTATTAGGTCAAACCATAGAAATGAGAAGAGGATTTTACACACAATGCTTTTAGGAACTTCAAGTATGAAATTATCGATCTTTTACACACAATGCTTTTAGGGTTTCTTTTGATTGAAGAGGATTTTACAACATACGAAGAAGAAGAAGAAGGAGAGTATCAAGGCGGGGTTTTTTATTTTTTGGATTTCATTCCCCCCTTGGGAATTAAAAAATTGGAGAACGCCTGTTCATATAGAAAAATATAAAGCTACAGTTTTAGACGACACACTTTTTTATGATAGGTGCCCTCCGTGTTTTTAATTTTTTTTTGTTGGACACTACGTTTAGGGCACGCACAAATGCGCGTCCTCTATCAGCGAGTGTCATTGTTTACGTGTCATTAAAGGGTTGTTTTCTAGTAGTGGGTCTTTATATAGTTTTGGCACAAGTAGGGTTACACCATGTAAACCCTAATTGTCATGGCTTTTCATATTCCATGATCCATGAGTTTGTAACCTCCATGGATTATTCATGGAGCACCTTATGGGTTTTAGCCCAATCCATACAAACCATGAATCATTAGCCCACTATATAAGAATAGATTATTTACACAATCAACCCCATATATTTAATTAGTCTCCTTTTGATCATTTAATTAATTCCAAATTAATTCTT